TGATTTTCTGCCACATTTAATGCAAAAATATACTGGATTTACGCTTAATGTGACACTGTCATTACAAGTTTTAACTGGGAGTTTACAAAATAGCTCCCACAGTTTGCTTTGGGGATCATAGTGACATAATTAGCCAGCATTTATATCTTTTAATCAGAATTTGATATGAAACTATTTTCATGTGGCATTAGATACCTGAGAGTTTATCAGTTTTGTCACAGAAGATTAGGCTACAAAATCATTATCTGACATGAGCAAGGAAATTATCATTTAGTAAAATGTGAGCATATGACATGGGTACAATGTTTCAATTGCATTTTCTCACTACTTTAACAGGTTATACTGATGCTTTGTAGGAAAGCAAAATTAAGTTGTAAAACATGAGATGATTTTTCTTCATAGGTAAGTTCATTTAAGATTAATCAACATCCAGGAAGATAACAGAAAGATCATGCATGAACACACATTCCCTTTTTCACAGATACACGTGAGCAAAACCAAATCAGTACAAGTGTGCATTTCCTTGCAGTATATTTTAAAACACAGGGCTGAGCACTGAACAGTGATCCAGAGCACAATTTACCCTCTCAACTAAGAGGGGGTAGAAAAGTTTCTCTACTACTGAAACACTTGTGCAGACCCCAGAGGGGATATTCCACAGGAGTGCTCTACCAAGGACACTCATTTGACCAGGCTCCACAGCAATGTATGTGGGGGTGAAATAACAGAATATTGTTGATCAGCTTTTACTGGGCAGAGGAAATAAAAAAAAATCCAACACCTCCACATAAAGTAAAACCTCCCCTATTTTTTTTTCCCCAGGAACCACTAAAAACATTCCACACATTACACAATTAGCCAACTCCACTAACGCAACTTCCCAGGCAGCAGGAGCTGCTCTTCATCCCCGGCCCATTATTCACTCCATTCCCAACGCTCCTGTTCCACAGGTCGGCTTCTGACCGAAGAACTGCAGGGCAGGAAAGAAACGTGAGGAAGAGCAGGCAACAGAAACGGGCACGGAGAAGATTTAAAGTAAGTTTTACACTGGACAAAGCAAAGGCACCGCTGAACCCCCACATTGGGAGTCAGCCGGGCAGGAGGCCAAACCTCCTCGACTTGCCTCACAACAGGAGCGGCTCCGGGGCCTATCCCGGGAAATCAGCCCCTCTCTGTGCCTCTGCTGACCCTATCCCGGGAAATCAGCCCTTCTCTGTGCCTCTGCTGACCCTATCCCGGGAAATCAGCCCTTCTCTGTGCCTCTCCTGACCCTATCCGGGGAAACCAGCCCCTCTCTGTGCCTCTCCTGACCCTATCCTGGGAAATCAGCCCCATCCCGTGCTGCCCTGTGCTGCCCCTATGACGGCCACGGGCTGTCCCTGTGCTGGCCTTCTCCCTGTGCTGCTCTGTGCTGGCCCAGCTGTCCCTGTCCCTGTGCAGTCCCGGTGCTATC